CATAGAGTCCTTTCACTACTTTGGCCATTTTGATCTCTACCTCAGACATCTGATGGGTTTTCTTTTTCTGATATCTTGGGACCCAATCATGCAACATCAAGTGGTCATGGAATAGCATGTTTATGAACGTTGTCTAAGCAGATGCCTACACCTAATAGCCTTTCACCTGAACAGGGCTAGAGTCATTGTTCTTGAACTGTTGCACTGTTTTCTGGTCAGGTCTGGCTGCTTCAGATAGACTAGACCTCCAGAGATAGGCTCTTCTAGTCAGAGCTGAAGCACACGGAGAGAGCGAGGGTTAACAAAGCTCACACGATCACTACTCTGACTTTGTTCTGACTGCCTACAAATAAGATCATAAAGCCAGCTGGCTTTGCTCTCATGGAAGCACCAGATCCTTAAGTGGAAGACTAATATGACCACATACACCTGTTTGATATGCAGTATGGAATACAGGTGATAGAAGTGTTCATACCTGAACCTTACCCCATGCTGCCTCTTTTCCTTTTTCTTATATCCCTTTCGCTGACACTGACTGGACAGACCAGATGCCCTCTTTTCAATCAATAACCATGACAGAAGCTTTAAGGATTACGTGAGAGAGTCTTGCTGGAGTTCTGGTTCTCCTAGGACAAATCCACTATGAGATGTGCTAAGTGCACCTTCCTCTTTGAGCATCTTCCTGATTCTTTTTTCTATCTAATCCAACTTTAAGCATTTAAGTAGTGTTCGGGGGAGTTTAGCTTTCATAAATGGCCAAGGCTTTGTTATCTGGGTGAGGAGTAGGAACAGTGAAGCGGAAAGGAGCAGAACAAAAGAAGTCAGCAGTGAGCCTGGGTGGTCCCCTCTATGTAGGCAGAGGAAAGAGTAGTGTTAAGGAGGAGATGAAAGTTAAGAACAAGTGAATTCGGGAACCCAGGCAGGGCAAGGGAGGACAGGAGTGGTGCTGTAGCTGCTTAGACCACGGCCTCTGCTGACCTCACCTTAGGCTATCAAGGTTGGAGGAGAGAGAGGGGAGAGTCATATGACCAGGAAGCTCTAAATTATCTCAACATACATGCAGTGTCAACCATCATGTGCCTCTGCCTGTATTCCTCTAAGCACACGAGTTCTTAAAGGAACCCAAGTCCTTCTCTCAATATATTCCTTTTTTCCTTTTCCTTACTGCATAACATGAATTGAGGAGCCCTTATACAGACAGCAGGACTTTAATATACACATACCTGATTGGAGTATTCCCAGAATGTTCTAGGCCAAAAGCATAAGACAGACTAATGAGTGTTCAGTGTCAACTATTTTGTGTCATGCTCATTGTAAGCTCTGAAGGACTCTAGAAATATCCTCGAAAAACATCATTAAGAAGGTATGTGAGAAAATTCTGCTATTTGCCAATAAAGGACTTTGAGTATGGTTAGGTATGTAGATTTAAATAAATATCCCCAGCCTGGCCGAGTGCATGCTGACCAGAGAGGCCCAAGACCCGAGGCGACCGTGCACCCAAGGCACCAGTGGGCAACCGAGCAGACACTGTGGAAGCCATGCCAAATTGGCAGCCCCAGCAGCATCCTAGACAGACAATAATGTCGAACCAGTGGATTGTGAAATCCCCTGCCACAATGACTAAACATCAAAGGAAAGATACCAGAAACATGAAAAAATTCAAGAAAGTATGCCAAAGGGTAATAACTCTCAAGCTCTAGATCCTATAGAACAAGTAGCCCTTGAAATATCTGACAAGGAATCTCCAGTGATAATTTGAAGGAAACTAAATGAGATACAAGAAAACTCAGCTAGACAACATGATGAAACGAGGAAAAGT